TGAGCCAATTGCTCGCTATGCTCCGTCGTAATATTTCTTGTCGTTTTGCTCTTTCTGAATTTGCCCCTTTGCTTCCTGCTCTATTTCCTTCCAGCTAAATCTGTTCCATGAGCTCTCTGTCTTATCCTTTGCTGGACTTTGGTGGGAATATTGTCGAGTCGCTTTCATTGGTGGTCTTTTGCTTTGAATGGCACGAGAACCTTGATACCCTCATTCGGCGTTCGGAAGTTATATTCTTGATGCTTGTTTACTCACTTCGCTGGACATGATTACGATACCACTTCCTAATGATTGTCTCGAGAACCTTATTGTACGATAGATCGCTATGAGTTGCTCGCTTCTAATACGCGTTATATGATCATCAATCGCATGACTCACGCTCGGAGTTTTGAGCTCCAAGGTAGGTAGTTCCATAGGTGATTGAGGTCTCTTCAGGTCTTTCAGGTCTTTAAGCTCCGATCAATCCTTCGAACTGTCAATCTTTTCGCGCATTCGCCAAATATGGACTCGTCGCGATTTATCTATCACTTGGCTTCCTCCGAACTTCCTCTCCTCCTGTAGATTCTCCACTTCCCCTGAATCGACTACGTGTTCACCACGAAGGACCGATCTATTCTGTAGTCTGACTGCACTCGACTTCTTCAGGCTGTGAGCGGGCACTGGGGCACTGACTCGCTTCCTCACGAGGCTACCTCTTACGGTACTCCATCTTCTCCCCGCTGCTGCGCGACGAGACTGGTGGATGACTGTAAAATCACAAGCCTTTGGACTACTCTTTCAAGCAGGAATCGTCATTGCTCATTACCTTAATCGCGTCAATTCCGACCCACTAACGTTGTCAATGACCTCTCGAGATCTTCCGGACAGCCGCAATTCGCGTTCTTCAGACTTCATCGGTTCTTTTGGGTCGGTGCAAGGTCACATTGCGCTATCGCATTAGCCTCCCCTCGGGATAACATGATCGACATGTTTCCCATGGAATCCTAGACTATCCCACGGCTAGCACTGCAAATGACTACGAACTGCAGGCCAGAGTATGGTTCAGAACCTCACGGGATAGAGGCGTACCTAGCGTCTCTCTCAGTCTACAAACTCGTGGCACCGACAATCATCAGCGACTAGAGAATAATCGCTTAATACTTTTGTCACCCGCACCGCAAAGTGGGAGCTTCAGAGGGATCGACAGTCCGAAATTATCGTGATGAACCGGAACATCCATAGACGGCTTGAAACATCGCGCTAGACTCAAGCGACTTTGAGCCAAGCATACGCCTACGGCAACCGGTTTCATGGCTGATTCGCTGTTTGTTCGGGCCATATTTCGATTCTGGTATTCGTTTGGTCGGTTGAAGGACTCAGGTCTCCGGGAGACTTTCCTTCTAGTAGTCTAATGTCTACTCGGTACTCTGTACAGTCTAGCTAACAATTTAGTGCCAGGTACTGGTCAACCCCCCTTTTCTTTGCGCCTTAATTATCATCGTTGTCTTCTCTTCTTCACTTGGGTTATCACTCACTGCTACAGACTTTGACTGCCTCAAGGCGTTGTCGTTCGTTCTTTACATTCTATACACACCAGAGCTGTCACTCGTTTCCAGCTCCATTCATTCTTTACTTCTTACAACCGAAGGCAAAAAGGTCAATATTGCAAAATTATCTCCTAAGCTTTCTCGCTTATCCAAATCGATATACCAGCGTCCGACATCGACCAGCTTGCTCCAGAAGCTATTTCCTCTTCCAGTATCGGTTTTGAATTGCAGCCTGTGCATCTCAAACGTCAATCTTTTCATCAATTATACGATCAAGATGCATTTCGCCAAAGCTCTGCTGTTTACCGCTGCGGCTGTCGCGCCCTTCGCATCCGCTGCAGTGCAAGCCGAACCAACCACCACCATCACCGTCAAGGTGATGAGCGTTGGCGCTTCTTCCACTCCTACACCATCCCCCACCAGCAGCGTCGTCAGCGTGACTTCAAGCAGCAGCAGCCCCTCCATTCGACCCACCGGTGGCATCTACCTCCCCAGCTCCGGCCGCTGGAACTCAACCAGCTCTTCGATTGTCAAGGTGACAGTTCCTGCCACCGTCAGTGGCCCCTCGCAGACAAACGCTGCTGCCTCCGCGCTCTCGTCGGCACCATCCCAGGGCGGCGCCGCTTCCTCGATCAACTTCTCCGGCCCTCTGACTGCTGTTGCCATGGCTCTCGCGGGATTTGCCATGTTTTAGAGGGTAAATCGGAGTCTACCAGACCTCCAGCGCTTGAATAGCAACAGTTGAAGCGATCTCCTTCGTCTTCGGGATTGGGGGAGGCCGTCCATGGTCGAGCATCAATGTTCGGGAAATGAGGGACTCGGACACATATTTTCCTATCTATCTTACTTCGCGGGACGATCCTCGTCGCCACCTTGTCATATATACATTTTCACTCGTCTTCTAACCTGCTTCTATTGAACTCGACTCCATCCGCCACGCACGCATTGTTTAAGAGTTTATGATCTGGGCGGGCTGATCTGTCATTCATCACTTCACCTTCACGTCCTCTATTTTATGTCTGTCTATACCCTTAATTTGTCCCTCAAGAAGCTCTAGCCTCTTGCCTCTTGAATTCAGTGTTCTTCCATTCTATTCCACTGGATTTCTTCGTTATGATAGAGTACTGATGGTTCTACCACGTCACTTGTTCCTATTGTTTTTGTTGTACTTGAGTACCCTATGCGGTGCTTAACATGACATAGCCGGCTAAAGTGCAGAACCTTAAGTCAAGATACAGGAGCATACACTCAATGCTATGCTATAAAACAAGCCAAGTATGGGGATCAATCCCGTGCTTACGCTTGCTGTAGTATACAGAGAGCATATTGAAGGTCGACCATAGGAAGGAGAGGAATGCAAATTATTATGTTACAATGTACAAGAATATACATCAGCGCTGCAGGCGTTCGCAGCATCTTATGAGTCCCTGTAGGTAGCTTCGTACCTGATCAAGCCGGACTGAAGTTAGCCAGTTCTTCAGAGAATTGGAACAGCCATCACATACCTCTTTCCTCTGAATGCCCAGAGACCCCAATTTCCACAAGAAACATCATGAGGGTCCAGGTCGTTCAGATCCCAACGCAGACTACGGAAGATATTCTCACCGGGCTCAAGTAGTATATCGAATTCACCAGCACATTTCTCGCGAACCCAGCTGATATCCCTCTCCATATCCCACTGTGTGTACCCAGTGGTAATGATGGGGACCTTGGTCTCCAAAAGTTGTGGCAGAGTTTCTTCCCACTCGTGAGAGCTCGCAGGGTGCCCAAGGCCCGGATGGAAAAGTACAAAGCAGTCCAGATAAGGGTCAAACGGCTGAAAGTATTGCGCTTTATACATGGTGTGGAAGTAGTCAACGTACGTTGTGATCTTCAACTGGCCACCGAGTCGATCCTCCACGATGCCCCCAAACGGATTCTCGGGGGTCCGCTCAGGAAGTGGGAACTCGGCGTCACGGTTGGCCATACTCTCAGGTCCAATGAAAATCAGGTGTATCAAGGACCGCGGGAAAATGTAGCTCAATTGCAGCCAGACGTCGCGGGGAAGGGATGATTCCGCACGCGCACCGAGGATGAATACTCGAACTGGGGGTGCCTTCAGGCGCAGACCTTGGATATCGACACCCTCTCCTGTCTTTGGAGGGTGCAAGGTGTATCGAAGAGCTGAAAAGAAGAACAGTCAACTATTTGTGCAATTTGCAGGCAGCTAACTGAGCACGGAGAGGTGCAGCTTACCGCTAACGCTCTTGAGCCCTTCGGTAGTCAGCCGGCCTCCATTTCGAACGCTGTAAGGGCTCAGCTCATGGAGAACACTTCCGATCGTCAGCGGGTATGTAAGCATTCTGGTCACTTGTCGCATGCTTCGGTCATGATTGATCGCATCAAATTCCCGTGTATAAAGGAAAGTGTCCCAATTGGTCATGTTAATAACGAAGTTGTCGTCCTGCAACCCTGGGTAGGTGAACTCGGGGAAAAAGCGCCCGGAATGAAGATCGTGGTCATCCTCGTTGATTTGTCTGATAGTGTCACAGATCTCCAGGTGCGCCTCGAAATCATCCATCCAGTGTCCCTCGGAACAGTAGATAGGAACACCACAATCGGGACACTCAAAGTGAGAGTGGGCCGGCGGCAGTGCGCTTTCAGGGCTCTTCCGAGACTCCGGATCGTGAGGCGAGAGAGCTGCACGAGTCTGCTGATGACTGGGATGCGGACAAAAAGCATTCTGTTTGATGAATGCCGCACGCTGTCTAATCGCGGGTGCAGGGGACTTCGAGAAAGGATGAAAGAGGTTGTTTGGTTTCAGCAAAGTTCTTGTCTCCTGCGCTTGGCTCGAAGAGGTGGACGACGCTCGGTGCGCTAGCGGCTTTGCAGTTGGAGGGGCAGCAGACGAAGGCGACAAGGATGGGCATGACGTCCGTTTCAATTGCCCCTGGGAGGGTTGAGGTGGAAAGCGGTTGTTTCCCTTCGAACCGAACCTTCGGGAGAAAGAAGAGGGCGAGTCGCGTTGTCCCGGCGAATTAACCACAGTTTGCAATCGAAACGCAGAAGCTTGAATGGAAACTCTTCGCTGGAGGACCTGCAGACAGCGTCCGCAAGTATATTCGCCAGGCATGTCGACTGTCGCGGGGCTGAATGGGCGGCGGTTGAGTACACATGTTCTGGAAGCTGTAATTTCTGGCCGCCGAGAATGCCGTCTTACCACGTGATCCAGATAGATCGTTAAGATGTCTTCATAGGCATGTTTAGTTCGGTGCTATTGCAATACACTCACTCCCTCAGCAAATATGTTGAAATTGTGTATGTTAGAAATCCGTTATCCAGATGTTAATGTACCAGTAAGACAGAGAGCCAATAAGTACAATGGTGACTTCAGGACCATTAACTTCTTGATTGAGCATAATGAACAACTTATCACAATCTACAAGAGTATGGGCGATCTCCAAGACATCCACCTCCCCGAGCCTTGGCTGAGCGTCAGAAGATATCTTCGCTGGCACTCCAGTCATGTCTTTCTCTACATTCCCAATACTTTCCATTGTGCGCCCAATATTCCTCTCCAGTGATCGGACATTTAGCCCTGGTGAACCACTGAGGGCGGTACTCCTCGCCTCTAGCCTCCCTCTCCCGACGCTTCGCCCGCTGCTTTTCTTCAACCCGATGTTTTTCATTGGCAGCCAAGTCGTACTCGCCGTCTTCCATTGCACGCTGATCAGGGCGGAGTCGCGTGTCAGTAGGAGGGAGATGTTCTTGCAACCCTTCTGGAAGAGCATTCAGTGTGATGACAAAGGGTGTCAGATTGAAAGGAATTCCACTTGGCCGAGGATGGCTCTGCCAAACCAGAAAGGTCTTAGCCGATTCGGGATCCTGACCGGACACTTGCGCTTCGAACCCAGGGGTATGGCGTGCGTAGATTTTATCATTCCAGCGCCCACCAATACTCCATCTCGGTGATCCGTCGCGATCAACAACTTTGCCAGTCACCTGGTACGCAGAAGATGCCTTCCAGCCTCTCGGTTTGAAATCCAGGTAGCAAACCTCGCCGGTAGTCCAGTTTTTGATTTCCATCAGACCGTAATTGTCAACAGTGGGATTGCCTGTGATAATGCCAATGACAGACGAGGTAACTTTCTTCCATGTGTAAAGCTCCTCTCCGCCTGACACGGGACGCAGTTTCAGAAACCAGGTTCCAAGGAGGTTGATATCGAATGATTTGCCGTAGAATTTCGACTTGAGAGCAGACTCTCCCTGTGGAAAGAAGCTTAGAAAGGAAACGATGGCACAAAAGGGAGAGCTATTCAAATCTTACCCAATAATCCCACTTCGGTGACTCGGCCCACGCTGCGCCAATTGGTGGGTGGTGGCTAACCTGCTCAATGAAGAACCGATATCCCTTGTCGGGCCGCGCATATTCGAAGGTCTCTCCGAGAAGAGGATTGAAAGGCTTTGCCACACGGCCGATTGTTGAAGCATACTCGCTCGCTGCGTAAGCAGCTACATACACCAAACGCTCCATCGAGTCGGATCGGTCAGCAGCGATATCCAGAAGGTCAGCATATTCTAAGTCCTCCGCTACTCGTTGAAGCAGTGATGTCGGCTCATTGAAAGATACTGGTAGAGTCATCTTTGTCATGTCCTTGCCGATCATGGATTTCAGAATTCCCTAAAGTATAACCTTAGATTGTTTCAATCCTAACTTGAGCAGGTACCCGCAATAACTTACCCACAAGGAAATTTTCGGTCTATTGTCGTTGTCCAGTTTGAGTCTTGTCCGTACAGGCTCTTCGTAGCCCTTGAAAGAGGGGACTATCTCGTTCCGTTTCACAGCTCGGAGTTCCGTGCTTTCTAATTCTGGCTTTTCCTTCTCTTCCTCGACCAATTTCGAGGTCGTCATGTCTTCCACCTCTATCTCGCCAGCGTCGATAGCATCAAAAAATTCTTCATCGTCGTCCGATGCAGAATCGTACAGACTGCTGATGCGAGAGAGGGCCGACCTCTTGCGACGCAGAGACTTCCCAGACTCCTCCTCCTCCTCGAATTCCGTCACGTATTCCACGGGCTGTGCAACTTGTTCTTCTGCTTTATCTCCGCCAACACGGCTGTCTTCCCCAGAGACTTGTATGCGGGACGGAACCTTGCTGCCACGACGGCTGGTGCGCGCGGACACGCTTTCCAGAGCTTCTTTGAGAGCTCGCTTAGTACGTCTGCGCTTCTCTTCGGATTCCCCCATCTTCGATTGCAGTTCTTCGTGCTCCTGTGCAATTCGCGCCATGCTTTCTTCCCACATTTTGCGAAGATAAGCCTCTCTGTTGAGTCGATATTGCCAATAAGAATCGCGATCCCGCGATATCTTGAGAAGGTTTTGGACCAGACCTTGCAGGCTGCTTACAGCCGCCTCATAAGCTACAAGGGCTTGGCTAACGGTGGGGTCCGAGATTGGCACGTTCGGATCCTTAGATTTCTCGGCTTGCAACGCAGAGGCGACGTTGGCCAGAATCTCGAGTTGAAGTTTTGCAGATTGCGCCGTGATGTTCAGCGCATCTTTATCCGAAGAACTGATATCGCGACTAGACGCATACTCGCCATAATCGTCCTCGTCGCCTTCGCCATCCGGCTGGCTAGTCACATGACTGACCACCCGATTCACCTCGTTCTGCAAAACACTCTGGTCGTAAGAACCGTGTATTGAGGCTTCCTCATCTGCAGGTACGCTGTCAAGGGTTGTACGAGACGCATATGTGGTGAGTCTGTGAGTGCTGCCACTTGGCACGCTAAAAGAAGGAGGTGCTAGACCTTTCCCATTTGACTTGGTGGCGGCCAGGTTCGGGGATTCGGATGCAGTCTCTGTTGGACTCCGGCCTTCGATCTGGTCCATCTTCGCCTGGCGAAGTGCCTCAGCATGTCTTGTCTGACGTTTCTGTTCCTCTTTGGCTTCGTCTTTCGCCCATTGTATAGCGTTGTTCAGGGTCCAGAACCAGCGCTTAGCCTCCACGACATGGTTCGCTTTGAGATGATATTTGACAGACGACTTTCCATGTATTTCAAATCGCGTCTTGTCCTGCGCGTCCATGCTGAGTCTAGCGATCTTCATATTTATCGCGCCGCGACAAGCAGAGCCCGCATCGTCTGAACGAAACGTCAATTTCCCGTGGTCTTCAGAGAGGAGGGGCACCAAAGATAGGTTTACCTTGATGTTTGTAGTAACTCAGGACGCCATCTTCAAGCACGAACCATCGCAGCTTATATCCACTGGTATAATTCGTCCATTTCTTTAAATAGCCTCTCATTTCACGCGCATCTTTGCCCGCGAGCGGCGCCTCACCTGCGCCTGACCGTCCAGAGACACCTTGAGCGGGGCTGCTGCCGAGGATGGCTTTCTCTTGAATGCCACGCTGTGCGATAACTGCGGCAGGAGATCTTTTGACAATGGCACGTGTCTTATCGTCTTTCGTAACATCTTGAGGTAGCTTACCTTTCTTGTCGCGCCGAAAAGGATCAGCTCCGTGCATCAGTAGAATCTGGATGAGTCTTGTATCTTTTTTTCTAGCGCCCTCATGCAGCAAGGTACCTCCAGTCTGTGCGGTAGTCGGGTCGGTGACCAAGTCCAGGCTGTTCACATCTAATAATCCCTCCACGCGCGGCTCTTCCAATACCTTCTCAAGATTATCGTAATCGCCTTGAGACACAAGGAGCTGAATTTCTTGTGTCTTGCTGTCAATAAATAGAGATCTTGCAAGCTGGAGCTGCTGAAATATTTCCGGGTTACGCGCAACATCAAGGGCAGTCTGGCCACGGTAGTTGACGATCGAATCATTCACTGATGGACGATTCAACAACTCGCGCACTAGAGGTCCTCTTCCTAGCTGGGCCGCAAGATGAAGAGGGGTATTCCCATCCCGATCGCGGGCGTTGATATCCAGGTCATCTCCCATAGACAAGACGAATTCGACTACCTGCGGCTCCGCACATTGAACTGCTAAATGCAGAATCGTTGTGCCAGTCAAAGCGCCTGCCCCTTGAGGTTCACTGGTCTCCTTAATCGCTTTCGATATCGCATTTGTGTCCCCGCTCCGCAGGATCTCGAATAGTCGAAAGGTGCGCACGGATTGTTCAAGTGTCATGCTTCCAATCGCTGAATGAGCTAGAGTAGGCATTTTCTCGACATTTTCTGTGCTATGATTGGAGCCGGCTGGCTCAAGCGTTGTCTCCGAGTTCATGGGAGGTGAGTTTGCCTCTTGGGGCGACTTTCGGCGGTTGCTATTCTTATGTGACAGGAGCGAGAAAGAGGAGGTGCTGTTAACCGGAGAGGACGCGCCAGACTCAAGCGAACCACTTTCGCGACCAGGCAGATCGTCGTTGATGTCTTTTGATTTATCCCGATGTAAAATTGCAAGGGCCAACGCACTCTTCGATCGTTTGTGTCTAAATGGCGTGTTGAGTCAGTACAGCGGCCACATCGCGGGATCATTTGAATATGGCGAGAAGAGAGAAAGCGAATGTGAAGATAATCCCGACAGGTACGTTCCCTGAGCAGCTCCGAAGCCAGGCATCTCTAAAGGGGACCCAGCTCAATCGAAAACAAAAATGACATAGTATCTCCAGGAAACGGTTCACGGAAAACCGAGGATATCAGTCTAGAGGAACTCACCCTTCGCCCCTTTCCGTCATTTCTCTATCGGCACTAAACGAAGCTCCGAGATGAATAGAGGAACTCGAGGCAGCGGCATAGACTGTTGACAATAATAGAGAATCAATCAGAACTGAGTAGTTTAGGGGCTCACGGGTTTAAATTATATATATGTATATATATGTGGTTGACGGGTAGTGGGGAAACGATAAGGAGTTCTCTGTACTTTGGTTGCACAGGAAAGGAAATGTTGCCGTGCCTTGGCGGTTTTGATCGATCGCCGTGAATAATTCACATGCATAGGAGTATATTCCAGCTTACGACACATTCCAGATTTAAAGATAATGGTTAAGGTAGCCTCCTGGGTTTGAGAAGGATTTTATAGAGACAAAATAAAGTAAGGAAGAGGCTTGGGCAAGTATGGAAAGAAGCTGTCGAATACCCGAGCACGCATGATCATATTGTACAATGATTAGGTACCGATTCCAATGTCTATATACCAGTACATGCCAAGTATGTCAGCTTAAGACAAATATGAATGCCGTCCGTAGCTGTCACGCAATACGAAAAACTGCACACTTCCTCATTCACGGGTCTCTCCGCTGACCACAACGATAACACTTCCAAGCTGTCGTCTGAGATCCTCCTTGTCAACATCATGAGTATCCTCCACTTCTCCCCACATATCAGTCTGCCACCTCACTTCAAGACTGGACGCTTCTGCTGCCTCTTTGATACCAAACTTCTTTTGTCCTGATCTTTGCAAGTGACGGAAATTCTCACTCCACTCGACGACCAGTCGAACAGCAACCAACAGGCTCTTGCTAGCAACAATTCCTCTTTCTAAAGCAGCTAGATCGTGCGGTTGCAGCGACGAAACCCATTGTTTGATTATGTCCTTCGTAGCCCGGGGCTGAGACACCGGCAGAATGCTGTCCGCGTCAAGAATGGGTACAATGTCGACACCAGGCCACACCTTTGTGCCTAGAAAGGCGATAATATCCTTGGCCACTCTCATTTGCGCTTCTCGAAGGCTTTCAGGCCGCTCTCCATTTTCTTGAGATTCCTCGCCAGCGTATGGATTTCTCTCGGGCACCCAGCACAGTAGAGTATCGGTATCTAGATAGCGCATGGCGAGTTTCACAATCTGGTCCCTCGTGGTAGTCTCACCCCTTGAGTCTTCTTGTGCAATATCTCCCGCCCGCGCAGTCAACGAGGTCAACGGAATAAGATGATTCTTCAAAGCCTGCCGTGCGGACGTCATAACGTCCCACTCGAGAGCAATAGCATGTGCAAGATGCGGTTTCGTTGAAGGAACGGATAAAATATCTTTCGTGGGCGTCCGAATCGGTCGCGTGTCTAACAAAACCTGGTACTCCCCATCTACATACGAAGGAAGAGACGAAAAGGTCAGCTTGATGTATGCGGGAGGCGAAGTTAACAATCCGCACAAAAGAAAGGGTGAGGGCACCTGGCTTTTTCCTGACATCGACATTTTTCCAAAATCGCTTCTCGAGAGTCGGCGATGGTTTTGACACTTGCGCTTGTGGCTTGCCTGCATCATTTACGTCTTTTCCTTCTTCGGTCGGACGACCGAATTCTGGAGCTGGCGAAGGGGCCTTTGGAGGGGGTCCATGGGCAGTGATAGGATGGGCAACTGCAGCTTTCTGCGAGATGGCATGAAAAGTTCGACAGGACGTCGTAGCTCCGCGCTGCCCGACGGCCGAAATAAGCCTGCAGGAGAGAACTGAAAAGGCGGCTCGAGGGAGAGTTGGCATGGCAGCTTGATGGTTGCTTGCGCAAAATCCAAAGTGGAGAGATATGCAAGACGATTGACACGTAAATATCTTTGTTCTAGAAGACTTTGCCGGTGATCAGTATCAGTTCAAAGTTGCAACTTCTAAAAGGTTAATCTCGAAGATGGATTACCGGCTTAGTCTCTGTGAGAGTGCCAGTAGTCAGTTTTCGACGTATCTTTGCTTTTTCCCTTATCCTTGTCAGATATCACTACGGTGGGTCTATCCAGAACGCCGTAGACTGCACTGCACGCCACATTCTCCGGCTCTCCGCAACTCAAGGGCCGCAGGCATAATCTTAGGTCGAGTCGGGCCCGAGATGTCGCTGGAACTACACGTTCTCATTCGAACCGTAATCACACCAGATCATTAAATATTATTGTGGAGGATGACCAACTCGACCGCTGCTAGTTTTAAAGAGTCCGCGGGTAAACAACAAATCAGCCATAGATCGCACACATATCAGAGAGCCTCCCGGTTGCAATTTTGAGGTACCCAATTCAGAAATAGCACAAGAATCATGCGACAAGTCAGAAATACAGTGACCCAAGCAATGAACAAGCCCTCCCATGCTTTTTGCTATAAATTACACGGAAAAAGACATCTTTTGAATGCCAAAGCGAGTCAAACAAGTGTATGCGTTTAAGAGGAACATTTCTGTGAAAATCGTTCTGTTGAGCCGACTGCGAAAACGTGAAATCTGTACTCAGAGAACAGAGGGATATATTTTGAGGTGATAGGTGGAAGAAGCTGCGCCCAGCATTGGCTCACGCCAGTGTCGGATAAGAAGAGAGATAGGAAGGGACGAGGGAAGTGTAAAGGTTCCCGGAGAGCAAATAGAAACGAGCATCAGGTGCTGGCACCAGTGTAACGAGTTTGAAACTTCTGCGCAAATACAGAAGTGGAGGAGAAATCAGATCATGCGAATCCCGGTGTCATTAAGACATTCCATCGTAAGAATGATCTTCGGCATCATGAGAATATGAAAGGAGGAAGGGTGAGAGGAGAAGAGGATGGCAAACAGAGCGCATTTCAAATATTATCAGTGCCGCTTTGCTCGTGCAGATGCTCGGTTGATGAAAAGAGCTGATTCGAAGGGAGTGTGTTGCTATCGCATAAGAAGCAGCAAAGTCCTATCGCAGCGAGAGCTTTTCTGGCCCATCCAATAAGACTACTTCCTTATGCTCTGACAGCGTGAGGTGCAGTAAATGTTGAGTGCCCTATGGCTGGGGCTTCGAGCCGTGTTGAAGCAACAGGAGCGGATCAGTTAGGAGAGACTTCCTCCCGACGGAGGAAAGGAGCACGGAGAGGATGCGCAAAACCGCGATGATTGAGTTATGAAGTTGGGGTAGTACGGCCGCTTCATACGGTCAATATCCGTCCGTCTCTTCATGCGTTCTGCATCATAGTCATCGGCACCATCTCTGCTGCCCCACGTGGTCTGCGAGAGGAAGCACAGGCTTCATGTTAGCGAGATTCGTCGTAAAACACCAGTAGAGGACTAGATTGTTCAACGCGTTGTGGGGGGCGTTTTCTCGGAAAGGAAACACAAAACTCAAATACAGAGAGGGGAGAGAGGGCTAACAAGTAACGCCCGTAACCAGAGCCAAACGAGGGGGTGGAAGAAAGATCAACAACAAGCGTATTATTTCTTGTGGACAGGGACCATGACAATGCAGTTATGTCGATGAATGATAAAAAAGAGAAAGAAAACGAAAGGGGGAAAAATGCAAAAATAAAATAAAAAAGTGAAAAAAAGGAACAGCAAAGAAACTGTGTCGCATCTGAATTTCTTGGACACAGCAGGCTCGAATCCGCTCCATGCATAGTGCAATCGAACAAACTTTTGGAAATAGGAGACTTACCACATTTAGAGTTAGTACCGCATACATCTTGATTCCTCCGTGGAAATAACCGAAAAGGATAGAGACGGGCAGAAGCAAGATGTCCACCGGATACCGGATGTAATGTCCTAAGAGTTTGATGAATTTGCTAATAAACATCCATACTCCTAGGGCTTGCATAGCTAGAGCATGCGAGTTTCCTTCCCATGAAATGGTGGCTTTATGGCAAAGGAAAAGGAGCAGCAAGTCACCTAGAAGCGCTGGCGGGGACAGCGTTGTCAGATGGACAGCGTACGCACTCCAAGGTTGGCGACTTGAGACACAGACCCTCAGATGTTAGCGTGCGGCTTCAAATGAGGTGCTTGGTGTTTTTTTTTTTTTTTTTGTTTTTTTTTTGTGCAAGTTATGTATTTGACCAAATAAGGAAGTGTCATCCATATCCACCCAGGAAGCAATACCGACGCGTTGACTTGCCAGTAGAACTCTAGTCCGTTTGAGATTCCTGAGCCAGTGCAGCAGGCCTTTCTGACGGATAACACGAGTTCAAACCTGATTGCAGGCCAAAGACGCAGGAGCAAAGGAGGGTGGAAATTGGATAAGGGGAAGGATGATAGGAAGCGGGAAACGAAGGAAGAAATCAGGTAATACTTACTACCAAATATGTTTTTCATGGAACATACTGGTGAGGTTGCTTCTCCAGTTGCTTCTTGACCATCGCGCACACTGCTTCAAAAATTTTGGATTGTCTTCCAAGGTTGTCAAAACCTCAGCTTCGGGATGGTACTGCATGAATGTCTCCCAGCCGTGTGATACCATCCAGCGCGTGATGAAATTGTCATCATCTGCATTTAATTGGTATTTACCAAACCACCACTCCTCATTCGTGAAGGCATATGTGAAGCCTTCGTCTTGAAGAATGTGAGTTTTGTACGCAACAGTCCGACCTGACATGCATGGTAATCCACCATCCACATGCGTGGTGGCTGCGCAATCAAAGTTTCGGCGCTCCAAGTACAGAGCTCCCAAAAAGCCCCAGATACGTTGCGAGAAAGTGGGCGCAATAGCACGACGCAATCGCTGACAAGTGACAACTCCGCCGTATCTCTCGTCTTTCTCGAAAGGGGCGAGAATCCAACGAAGTACTGTACGTGGCCAGCTGACATCGTCATCAGCAAATACAGTGATGGCCGTGCGAACCTCCGGAATAGCTCTTGTCATTTGGCGACGTTTGTTGGGGTGGGTCACGGTGAAAAGACGAATTCTCGATTTGGAAGCAGGCATTTGACTCAGCATGTTTTCGGCCTTTTTCCTATTCGCTTCAATAGTCACCAGTAGAAGTTCATAAGGATGATTGTCGAGGATCGTTCTGATCGTCTCGACTAATTCGTCACCACATCCCTC